ATAAGGTCCTCAAGCGTGCGCTGATCAGAGCCCAGTGGGCAGGTATACAAATGTGCTGTTGTCTGCATATCACCACCATCACAAAGGGCAGAACCCATCAAAGAAGCCCATTTGTTCAGACCATCTCTGGATCTTGTGCTCGTATACAGTCTGTTCAATCATTCCCAGACTTCCCAGCTTTCAGAAGACCCAGGTGCTAATTCTTCCATGGGTCCTATCCAGTCTTGGTACTTTGTGGCTTTCCATAGGCCCACTATCCCTTTAAATTCCTCAGAGCCTTCTGCCGACCTAAAAGTGATCAAAAACGAAGTTATTTTTCCGCACTTCCCTGGTTGCTTCTGGCACAATCACAGAACAAGATACCATGTGCACCATCTCGCCCTGACCATTGATTCAGTCTTTGCCTCACGCTGGATGTATCCATCGATTTCACTGGAGAGGCAAACTCATTTATTTAGGGTGAACAGATGGAAATCACCGAATTAGCATCCACTGATACTACACAACAACACATCTGTTCACTACACTCTCCAAATAACATGTGGATGTGTTTAAGCTGACACATGGGCCTGGGTTTCTGGTGCCCTAAATGACAAAATATTGGGCAGCCGTTCTCTCTTTTCTCACTGAAAGGATTTTCTGCGTTAAAACCAAGCAAACAAAAAGGGGGGGCAGAAGAAGGGGTGGAAAAGCACAGGATGGCTGAAGAGCAGAACATCTGGAGTGCACGAAGGGGGCAGGACAATGGCGCCCTGAACGCTTTGTCTGAGGAACTCGTGGGGGCAGATGAGGTGAGAGGGCTAACCAACCCCCTGCTTTTTCCTTGAAAAGTGTATGACAGCCCCGTTTTGTGTCGGCTTGATAGAGGTCCCCATTTGGCCTGCCGAAATCAGCAGCAACATACCCTGTGTCAAGGAGGTCAGCTGGACCAAACTTCATGAAATCCTGAGCAACTTGGATTGCTTGGTAGAATAAACTTTGTCTTTCTCCCTTGCATGCCTTGCCTTGCCTTGCCTTGCCTTGCCTTGCCTTGCCTTGCCTTGCCTTGCC